CTGTTGCAAAGAACAGGAGGGGACACTCAGGAAATGTTTCCCACCTACCTCAACCTCAGAGTTTGGCAGGAAGGGACTCTGATCTTCTATCAACTAATACCCCTTCTTCTGAAATTAAGAGTGCTTGCAGAGTACTGACTGGATCCAGCAGGCTAAACCTGCCTCTGCCACCCTCTGGTTAATGGACATGGATTAATGGACATTGCCTCACTCAGTTTCACAAGGATCAGGTTGACCAGTCTAGAGCAACAAAATCATGATCTATGATAGGTCAGAGAGTCACCATGTTCCTCCTGAGTTTGCCACCTACCTGAGATCCATGTCTTCTTTCTTCAGACTCTGAAGAAATGGTATTCTTTGTGCCCACTATCCCCACCCCACCCCACGCACACACACAACAGCTCAGATCTATAATCTGTTCTCTCCCTCTGCCAAGTCAAGTATTAAAATTTCCCCTGCTTGGGTCCTTCTCATCTATTTCCCAATTTCACTTTCTTTGATGCTCACATCTTAAACTTAACTACACACACAAACACATCTATGCACACATGTGCAAACACACACAGCCACACAATTCTAGGCTTAGTTTTTTCCCTTTTCTTGGCCATGCAGTCTCCAACTTCTGTGCCCCACACCCACCCCACCACCCACCACTCCTTAATCTTGCATGCTCTTACTTCCATTTTTTTAAGTCTCTGCTCTTTGTTAACAACTCTCCATGGTTCAGCACCCACATTTCTCAGACAGAAAAGCAGATGGAGGAAGGGAATTGACAAAGTCCATCTCTATTCATTTCAGCTCTAATAGGAAAACCATTTGTCTTGGTTGGTCTGAGATATTTTCAGTTTATTACTATTGTTCCTAATCAGTAGCAACACCTTTTACTCACCAAAGTGTCCTAGATTGAATGCTAAATTGCATAATCACTCCATGCTATTTATTGGCCACAAAGAATACAACCCAACACTGATGATGACATGGGACGTAGATGTTACAAATCAAAGCTCCCTCTCAACCCTGAGGGCATCCACTGACCTTTAGTACAAACTTTAGTTTTTTCTTCTTGATTTGCTTTATCAAATTGACTGTCTTGTCATCATCTTGGGTCTTGTTTTTCTTCTGTAATCAGAGTTTAAGGGTAAAAGGTATGAGTAAGGTTGTTCTCTGTACAACGTGGTGCCAAGCTCCCCATATATTCAGACTCCTAGCTTGTCAGAGACTCTAGATGTAAGACCCACATCTTGAGTTAACTATGGAAATCTGCCCTTCTCCTCTTACAACTTTGGGTGGACTGGCTGTCTCTTACACAACATTGACTGCCCATGACTTGGGAATAGATGGTTCAAACCCCTTAGGTCTGCAATCCCCTAAATTGTCCATTGTTAGGGGCAAGATGGTTCCATTATTCTCAGGTCTGCTTTCCTGCTGTGGCTCCTGCAGAAAGAGTGGAGAAGGGGAGAGAGCTGTGATGTCATAAAGACAGCTATGATTAGGGCACCAAGATGTCATCTAAGAGGTGAAATTCTGATGACAGTGAAAATACGGAATTCTTATTCTTTGGTGCCAGAAATGTCCAAAATGTTACAACAAAGGCAGAACACTATTGGCCTAGGTGTACAGATAGTTCCCAGTATTGCAAATATCTGACTTATGGGCAACTCCTTACTTGCCCTTTAATGTCATGTGATGTTACCCTCATTTTGAAACCATAGAGCCAACACCTACTCACAACAAATTCTTCATTACAATCATCTTCATTTTGAATCATTGAAAATATTCCAAACCTTTTCTTGCACTAAAATAGGTTAAAAAAAGAACTGCATGCACCTATTTCAACTCATCTATAAATTCCGCTTAAAAACATAAAGACAGAAAAATTTCATTCATAACCCACAGACTGCCATAATTATAAAGTTAGCCATTTCATTCTGGCTGACAGAACACAGACAGTTGAGAAAACTTAAATATCCATCAATAGGGAATTGAATGGCATGGATTTCTGTTCAATCAAGCAATGAAATCAAATAATGATTAGAAAGAATGAGTTTGGAGCTAAATTCTTGACCAAGTACTTCTTCACAGAAGGAGATTTACAAATGGCTAATAAGCACATGAAAAGATGCCCAACATCATTAGTTATAAAGGAAATGAAAATTAGAGTCACAATATGAAACCTTCCTAGACCCTGCTGCTGTTGTCAGGTGCTGTTGAGTTAGTTCCAACTCATAACAACCCTATATGCACAATGAGACCCGGCCCAGTTACACCATCCTCACATTTGTTGTTATGATTGAGCCCACTGCTGTTGCCACAGCCAATCCATCTCACTGGAGAGCTTCCTCTTTTTTCCCTGACCCTCCGCTTTACCCTAGTGAATACCTAAAATAAAAAATAACTGGCGGCACTAAATATTGTGATTACGGAACAGCTGGAGCTCCTATATATTGCTGGTTGTCTCGAGCTGGGACCCACTGCCATGGAGTTTATTCTGATTCATAGCAACCCTACAATGAAAAGTAGAACCTCTCCATAGGGTTTCTGAGGCTATCAGCCGTTATGGAAGCAGACTACCTCATTTTTCTCCCGAGGAGTAACTGGTAGGTTCAAACTGCCCAACTTCTGGTTAGCAGTCCAATGCTTAACCCACTGTACCACCAGAACTCCTTCCACTGATGATGGTGATGTGTTAATAATAGAACTGGACTGAAAACTGTTTGGCAGTTTTTAATAAAGTCAGACATCATCTACCAAATGACCTAGCAGTTCTACTCTTAGGTATTTACACAAAATTAAAAATATCTACAAAAGACTTATACATGAATGTGTATAGCAGTTTTAAAATAGGTCCCAACAGACTTCTGACAGACATGTTACCCAGGCCCTTTACAACAAAGCCATGGGAGATCCGACGAAATAGATACAGATATGGTAATCCTGGAACCCTGAGCATCATAGGAAAGTATAGAGAAGTGAACTAAATACCGACTAGGAGAAGAAGCTAAACCAAATTAGAAAGAAGACTGATGGAATGGGTGAATTGCAGCTTGCCTGAATAGCATGGCCCTTTTCAATTTTTGCAAGCAGCATTGGATCAGGACAGTGGCCTGACAACACAGTCACCAACACTGGTCACTGGCAACTAGAAATGTGTGACCCTTCCTTTCTTCCCCACACCCTCCTAGTAATCAAAAGGGAGGCCAGCCCCCACCCTCACCCACCCAGAAGCTGATGACAGCCTCTGCACATAACACCTGCTCTGTCTGAAGCTTGACCTGTGCCAATGTATGCTACCCCCAGGACTGCCGGCACATGAAGTCAACCTCCTGAGACCAGCAGAATGCACAGTCAAATGGGCAGCCTGCTCCTGGCCGTTTCTGGGCAGGCAGAGACTCCTTTCATAACCAGCCATCGAGTCGGTTCCGACCTATAGCGATCCTGAACAGGGGTTTTCCAGGCTGTAAATCTTTACAGGAGCAGAAAGCCTCCTCTTTCTCCCATGGAGCAGCTGGTAGTTTCAAACTGCTGACCTTGTGGTTCGCAGCCCGATTTGTAAACACTACGCTACCAGAGCACCTTTCCCCTAGCTGTCCTCAAAAGAGTTGCTTCCAGAGACAAGCAACCTAACCTCAGCCACCCTCTGAGCCAGCATGGACTACTTCTAGATCAGGTGCCCGCTCCCCCAGATACTATCTGGGACCAGGAGTCCTGACCCCTGATTTGCTCCCCCTCCTCTGGATTCGCTCCCCTTCCCCATGAGCGTCTTGGCTGGCAAAGGACCATACTACTGAGTACCCTTCCCCTGGGAAGAAGTTAATAAATTACTAAGTAATTCAAAGAAAATTAACCTCATCAAAATAAGAAAGAGGAAAATCATAAAGATTAAATAAAAATGAAAACAACAGCAACAAAGAAAATGGCAAGAAAAGCCACGTGTAAAATGAATTCTGTATAGAAAATGATGTGGAACAAAGAGACCAGCAACACCAAACGTTAAAAAATAACAATGAATCTATGAAATACTTCATAACATGGAGAAATCTGGAGGACATTATGCTGAATAAAATTAAACACAAAAAGGACAAATAATATATGAGACCATTATTGTATTGTATGCAGGAGAAATGACTACATTCGAGCTCTCAAGTCTCGTCCTCAGGCCTCGATTCTAAGAAACTTTCTGACTGACTTCTTCCAAAATAGATTTGTTTTCTTCTTCTGATACACTAGTGTATATTCAATATTCTTTGTCAACACTTCAATTTGAATGTGCCAACTCTTGGAATGTTCATATAAAGGAATAGTGTTGTTGTTGTTGTTGTTAAGTGCCATGAAGTGGGTTCTGATTCATAGCAACCCATATAGGGTTTGCAAGGAGTGGCTGATGAGTTTGAACCACCAACCTTTCAGTTAGCAATCCAATGCTTATCCTACAGCACCACACCAGAACTCCATAAATAAAAACTCAGTAATAATAATATTCAGTAATAAGAACAATTAAACTAGTGATAAGCTGAAGCCTGTTACACAGTAAAATAGATTATTCTCAAAAGCTTTATGCTAAAGAGTTGCTGGGTATGGGGATTAGGGCCATATTCTCAGGGGACACCATGGTCAGTTGGTATAACATAATCCACAAAGACAATGTTCCACATCCTGCTTGGGTGAGCAGCATCTGGGATCGTGAAAGCTAATGTACAGCCATCTAAGATGTAGTTACTGGTCTCTCCATGTGCAGATGAGAGAAGAGTGATAACAAGTGAAGATGTTTGGAATAAATTAGTTCAATGGACTAATGGAACATGTAACTAACTGTGTCCATGGCTCTGAGACCAGAACTAGATGGTGCCTGGCTACCACTATCAACTGCTCTGAAAGGGATCACATTAGAGGGTCCCAGAGAGAGTGGGAGAAAGTGTGGAACAAAATTCAAAATCATTAATAAAAATAAAAAGACCACTACTCCAGCCCAATGTCTTCTCCACCGGCTCCACACTGCCACCATGGCCAATGTGGAAGACCGGGAGGAACCTGGCGTCCTCTCCTCTCACTCTGGGAGCAGAGGCGACAAAATGTTCTCACTTAAGAAGTGGAACACAGTGGCCATGTGGAGCTGGGACGTGGAGTGTGATATGTGGGCCATCTGCAGGGGCCAGGTAATGGATGACTGTCCTAGATGTCAAGCTAAAAACAAACAAAAGGATTGTGTTGTGGTCTGGGGAGAATGTAATCATTCCTTCCACAACTGCTACATGTCCCTGTGGGTGAAACAGAACAATCGCTGCCCCCTCTGCCAGCAGGACTGTGGTCCAAAGAACCGGCAAATGAGAATAGAAAGAAGCTTTCTTAATACAGTGGTTCGGAGCCCTGGTGAATCTTGTTGTCAAGTGCCCATAAAGGCTTCAACCCTCTGGGGATTAATTAGTTAAATATGAGGAGATGAATCGGTGGGTGGTCCTTTGGCACTCATCAAAGGCATGGTTTCACATTTTGTCCGTTGTATTTTCAGAAACTCTCTACAATTAGAAGATCATTTATTAAAGATGGGCTTTCCTACCTCGTGGGGTACATCTCACACACTGCTTCAAAGAGCTATAAAAGAAGAGAGAATTACAAATTGAGTGTTCTTTATAATTCACCTATTGATACCCAAGGGATTGTGGACACAGTTCCATTCAGAGAATATTGGCATGCATGTGTTTGATCAGTTACAAAACAGAGAGAGTGTTACAGTAACAAAATATAGCTTGAAACCCAACTCTTTAATTTGTTCCTGATCATTTGTGTGTGTATGTGTGTGTGTGTGCATGCACACATGCATGTGCAGAGGGAGGATGTAATTCATGAGATCTTTGGTGTAAGGTTGGTCATATACCAATGATAGGGTAAATACAATTTAACCTGCCTGCATATGAGATTTTGATTGATTTAGGTTATCATCTTTGACTAATTCAGGAAACCTAAATGTGCACTCACTCAACTGTTACTTTCCTTGAGTTCTAAATGGCATACATGTTTTGAAGTTCTGGTCCAATTATGTTGGAATGTAACTGTGTTAGGTGGAATGTCAATGAGGGGAAACGTGTACCATTCTACCTAGGGTTCATAAATTTATTTTATCACATAATGTTTTAATACATCATTTATTCAGTTCAAAATAAATAATAAGACCAGGTTTCCTGATCAGAAAGAGACGAGAAACCTGAGACCATGGCCCTTGGCCACCCTATAGGTCTGGAAAGTAACTCACCCTTATGGTCCAATTTGCAACCAAGTAGTAGGTAAGTATTTGGGGGAGACAACAACACTAGTAAGGTATGTTCACCATGGAATGAGCAATCATTCATAATCAAAAGGGCAACCTCTTCCTAAGAACAAAGTTGAAAAGGGCTGGAAAGGTGGGTGGAATGCAAATAGGACCCACAGGAAGGAAGCTAGATAACTTTTGTTACATGGAAGGTATTGTAATCATTGAGATGAAACAAAGTGTATGATTTGTTGAAGGCAAAGCTGGTAATCTTGTCTGTAAACCTCTGCTCAATTCACACCAAAAAGGTGTTTTTTTTAAAAAAAACAAAAAACTTTATGCTAAATGAAAGAAATCAGATGCTAACTAGAACACACAGGACGATTCTATTTATACAAAATTCTAAAACGGGCAAAATTAACCTGTAGTAAGATAAATCAGAATTGAGTTTATATCTTATGGTTAGAGTGACAGGAATGTTTCCTATGAACAGAATGAGACAGAGAGAAATGTGTTATATTTTGTTTTGGGTGTGGTTGCCAAAGAACATAAAATTGTAAAAACACATAAAACTGGACACTTTAATGACACAATAAAGAATTTGTTCTTGGTGTACTGATATGGATGAGAATTTAAGTGAAAGAGTGATATGGTACCTATCTGGTGGTGGTGGTTATGTGCTGTGGAGTCGGTTCTGACTCATAGCAACCCTGTACAGGGTTTCCAAGGCTGTAAATCTTTATGGGAGCAGAACACCTCATCTTTCTCCCACAGAACAGCTGGTAGTTTCAAACAGCTGACCTTGAGGTTCACAGTCCAATTCGTAACCACTACGCTACCAGAGCTCCTTATGGTACCTATCTAGGTATGTATTTATACAAATGTGTTGTGGAGGCATTCTTTTAATAGATTGTGGGAGAGGTTAGAAGGATATAAACAAAAAATTAACAATGATCATCTTGAGAATAGTGGAATCGGGGTTGTTACCAGCTTCAGTTTACCTGGTTCCATTTGTAGGACTCGATGAATCCGTCACCTGTTCTCAGGTGCAGGTGGATGAAGATAGCTAAGTTTTACTATTTGCAGCACATGAGGAAACAGGGAGATGACCCTCGAAGTGCTATCTCCCCAAAGAGGTTGGGAGGGTTTTAAACCTACAGAACAAAAGGCAGGGATTTGGGAAGGTGCTACCCATTATTCATGGGAAGGGCGGAGCAATGGCCTGGCAAAGAAGCGGGCATTGACTTCCTCAATTCTTAATTGGTTTTGAGCAGCATAGATGACTTAGTTTCCATAAATTTATTGTTCCTTGACCTGAGTCCAAATATTCAGGGATTAGCTGGAAGGCAGAGTTGCTTTTTTGTCACATGCTCCTGCATCCACTTATAGCTAGCTCTGGGTCTGTGGCAGAAAAACATCTGCAAAAACGGAAAGACTAGCAAGGAATGGGTGTTGTTGTTGTTAAGAGTCATCCAGTTGTTTCTAACTCATAGCGACCCTGTATAGGTTTCTGAGGAACGGCTGGTGGGTTTGAACTGCTGACCTTGTGGTTAGCAGTCTGGTCCTTATCCAACAGTGCCACACAATGGGTAAGGGATGGTTTTTTTTCTAGTTGATTAAGTACATGTTGTGACTTACTGTTCAGAGCACCCTTATATCTTATCCATGTGAGTAATGGGGGTTTACTTAACCTAGTTCACACTTCAGAGAGACAGGATAAATTCCTTCACCATAAGTGAGTCCCCCATGTCTGACCCATCCACAGAGCACTTTGTGACCAGCTTCCTGGGAGAGCAGGACACGTCAAAAAAAAGCTCCATGAGGCCCTGAGGACTAGTCTGGACCCCAGCTCAGGCTCAATGGGCCTTGACTGCTCTTCCGTCTTCCTCTGCATCCTGAGGGCCTGATGTCCACAAGCAAGAAAGATGGATGAGGGGATGCCCTGGAACAATAAGGTTAGTGTTAGAATGGCCTCTGGCCAAGGCCCAGGGATTCGTGTGAAATCAGTTGTCTGGGAGTAAAGTTCAACTCATGGCTATCACATGTATGTCAGAATAGAACTGTATTCCATAGGGTTTTCAATGGAAGTAGATTTCTTGGAAGTAGATCACTATATTTTTCTTCTGAGGTTATCTCTGGATGGACTCAAATTGCCTCATTCAGTCATGTGTACCACTCTAGGGACTCCAGACATGGCTAATCAATCAAAGCTTCAGCTCATTCTGACCTCTCAATATCCTCCAAATGCGCTCATCAGAGATGACTTGTGAGAGTACAAGGATTTGCAACATTAGCTCATAAATAATCTCCTGGGGGGGGGGGGAAAATGTCTGAGACAAAAAGACCTGAGGACACAGATATACAGCAGACCTGGTTATTCCTTTATTGGAAGGGGTATGCGTTGTGTCACTCTATAAGCCTGAGAACCCAATGAGATTTCAAGTTGAAGATTCAGAAGGTTTGCTTTGAGTTCATAGTGGCCCTGGATAAAGCCACGGGTATGGCAATTACGCCACCGCCAATAGACCTGGATGATGCGAACAGCATTGAGCAGGCGGCAGTAGCGACTGCGAATTCGCCACATTCGAAACCAGGCCTGCACCCTGACCGCTGCCCATTCTTGCCGAGCATAGTACTCCAACAGTGTCTGCCGCCTCTTCTTAAACAACCTTGCCTGTGTCTGCCGCCACCAGCACTGAATAATCCAGGCACTGAGGGCCGCATGCAGGAGTGTCCTGCGCACCTGGGTACCACGCCACCAGGCCTGGATGAGCACGACTGGAGCTTCGTTTATCAAGGTGGTCTTCTTTAGGAGGTCTTCTTTAGTAAGGAAAAACAGGACACTTAGGATACTTAGAATATGCGTACAATTTCAACCTGAGGGTATGCTAAAAACCGACTGGGATTCTCAATCAACAGTCATTTTTTGTCCAAACTTCAGGAACACTAGGCAGGGCACTGACTGGAGCCCGAAGTCTAAGCCTGTCTCTACCACTCTCTGGTTAACTGCCTTGGGTATACTGCCTTACCCCGAATCTGTGTCTTCATTTGTAAAATGCATCTGTCCTAGCTACAGCACCTTGTTCTACATGAATCTGATTGGCCAATTTAGGGAAAGAATCAAAGTTACCAAGCTCCACCTAAGGAGCTCTGGTAGCGTAGTGGTTACATATCAGGCTGCTAACCTCAAGGTCAGCAGTTCAAAACTACCAGCAGTTCCATGGGAGAAAGATGAGGCATTCTGCTCCCGTAAAGATTTACAACCTTGGAAACCCTGTGCAGGGTCACTATGAATCGGAACTGACTCCATAGTACTTAACAACAACAACAAGCTCCACCTGGGATTACTCACCTCCCTGGGATCCACATCCCTATCATTGAGACTCCACCCACCTGTTGGGGAAGTAGCATCTTTTGTTCCTCTTGCTCTCTCACCTTTGACTGCAGCTCAAATTCACAACCTGCTTTCTACCCTCTGTCTCTACCACACTAAAACATTAAAATGCACATAATTTATTAACAGCTTACACTTCAGTTACCACATCCATAGTACACTCACTTTTGACTTGGGCATTTCCCAAACATCATCCCCACCCTGTACTCCTCAACTCAGTATGGTCTGGGCTCACTCCTTCTGGCTCCCTCCTTGCCACAATCCCTACTCCATTTCAGACAAATCTACATCTACTCATCTTAGAATGGAATGGAGGAAGAGGACAGTCAGGAAGGGGTCAGTCCCTGTTTATTCCAGCTCTGTATACAGTGATCCTTCATCCCATTTGCTTGGGACATCCTCCATTTATACCTTCTATCCTGATGTAATACGACAAGTGGACCTTTTACACACTGAAGTGTCTCTCTTTGGACAAGAAGTTAGTTACATGATCACTAACCTTTGGTCATCATGGCTAGACCACAAGGATCAGGGATGTCACAAGTCAAAGCTCTCACCGACACTACAGAGCATGGACCTATCTAAGATATAAGGAGGGCAGTGGTAGTGATGTGGATGTGGGTATTGGGAGTAGAGTCACTTCTTGTCTTCTGCAAGTTCTGCTCTATCAGTGTGATTTCATCATTAGAGTCTATTGTATTATGAAAGGGTGTTGTCCTCTGTCAGAGTTTGGAGTTGGGGAACATAGCAGAAAGTGAGTGTGTTCTCTACTACCAGTGACCAAGTCAACCACAGACCCATATTCCTAGCCTTTCCTAGGACTGTGGAAGAGAAAGAGGCAGGTTCCAGCCTTAACTAACTGGCAATATACCCTAACCTCCCAGCCAGTTTGTTGTTGTTAAGTGCTGTCAACTCAATTCCAACTCATAGAGACCTTATATAGGGTTTCCAAGGAGTGACTGGTGGATTTAAACCACCAACCTTGTGATTAACAGTCCAGTGCTTTACCTCTAGTGCCACCTCAGATCTCCAGCCTGAAGTAACCAGGAACATACCCCAACCTCCCAGTCAGCTTAGATATATCTGTTCTCATAAAATATTGAAGGCCCATGTCTTGGGGGTGGGTGGTCAAATCCCCTCAGGTCTATAGTCTACAAAATTACCCATGGTTAGGAGATAGATGGCTCCATTTCAGGTCTGCACTCCTTCTGCTGTGGCTCCAGCAGTAAGAGTGGAGGAGCGGAGAGAGCTGTGATGTCATAAGGGCAGCTATGACTCAGGTACCAGTATGACTCCCAGTACTTGATCCTATTTTAAGGGAAAACTAGAAGACCTGTCCTTTATTCCCTGCCCAAATGGCTAGAATCCTGGATACAAAGACAGAATACTTTAAATACTCATCAGTTGCCACTAAGGTCTAAAATGATTTTCATTTAAATCTGGTAGTCACAGGCTGGGCAAGATGAAACTATAAGTTTCAGAGGAAGGGATAGAAAAGTGGGTTGAGTGCTTACTGGGAGAGAGATGAGCAGACATGGCAAGAGAGGAAATGACTGCTAAACCACAGTGGACAACAGGAACTGCCATAGCTATCTTGAGAGTTTCTAAGCGGCTCAGAGACAAGAAACATATTCACATTGCAGAAACCTACCTGTGGCTCAAAGAGGTTCCTCACACTCCCCTAGTGGCCACAAGTGAAACTGGCCTCCACCAGAGCACACCCCTAAGGAAACTCACATTTTCCAGATGGTCAGAACCACTCAGAGGTGAACACCAAGGTTGAGAGCCCTGGGGAGAGCTATCTGAAATAACCCCACTCAGGCAGGCCTTGCTCCAATTCTGTAAAGTTGACACTGGCCAACCCTGAACTGGCTGGCTTTCACTAGGAGAGGTAGTTGAATGGACACCTGGGATAGAGAAAAGAGAGGGGGAATAAAAGGAAGGAAAGGAGGCTGGCAATTTTTGCAGACCAGTAGGTGGCACAGAATACCACTTATTTGTGGAGAGATTGTTGATTTTCATTTTTCACTACTGTTTGCTGGTTTTTGTGTTTGTTTTCCTTCTTCTTGTCTTATCTGACAGGAGACAATAACTGCAGCCATACAACCAAACAACATCCATACCTTCTACAACCCCACCAAGTGAGCAAGAGCCAATAAAGCCACTATACACCAGATCAGCGACTACAACCAACATCAGTTAAATCCACTCTGAAATGAATTGTACAAACAGCAATCAGAGAATGGTGCACAAGCTCATCTCCTGATCACATGCACCAGGAGACAGCTGGTGAATGCCTAAGAATACAAGAACATACTTTCATCAGCTTAATACATATATAACAACAACACAATGTCTTGAAAGCAGCAGAAAAATTTTGTTCAAATTAAGAAACAAGACAAAGTAGCTCAAACAAACAATCAAGAGGCAGAGCTAGAAAATGTTTTTTTAGGAAAAAGAGGCACTAGAACTACCTGGAAAAGAATTTGGGAGAATGGTTTTCAGGTACCTTCAAATGATTGACAAAAAGGTTGAAGAAAACAAGGACGAACTCAGAAAAGCACTAAGGAACAACCGAGCAAAATAAATAAATGATTGGCCAAATGAAGTGCAGGGAAAGTGTGTGAACTCTCAAACTTGCAGATGCCCGTCTGACACTGGATGGCTAGGGATGAGCTGATCAGAACTCAACCAGACGA